TTTTTTTTTTTACCGTCCCCAACATATTTTTACAGGGGCGTTGGCCGGATTAATAGACATTGCTGCCGATTGGATGACTGACCTAAAGGAGGGCATTTGCCTTAGTGCATTGTGGTACAACCACGAACAGTGCTGTTGGGGATCTAATGAAACAACATTTGAAGAGAGGGATAAATGTCCACAGTGGAAAACATGGGCAGAATTAATCATAGGTCAAGCAGAGGTAAGTCTTGCTTTGTCTCAAGGTGAATTAATAATTGATATAGCAAAATGTTTCCAGTTCATTTAATTATAGAATTAATCACATATTAGATGATTGCATACACTTTAAATGGATCCACCCTCAACACACTGCAGCAAGAAAGAATTAAGTGCAGTATTGTTTCAAGAAGCTTTTGTATTAACTATATAGTCGTATAACAAATCCTCTGGATTGTGATGCAAATATATTTGAGCTGTAGTAGAAAAGAAGTGATAGTTATTGCAGTAAGATCTGTGTAAAGTTACTAAGAAGTCAAGTTATTAAAACTAATGTATTACTAAGATTGGGAAGTTTGAATTATGAAAGTATGATTATCAAATAATTTAGTAAAATCAACCTTTTACACAGATACATTGAAGACAACAGATTTTTATTTGTGGCATTATAGCATTTACTTGATTAATTTACTATGATCTACAAAGAACATTTTAGAACTTAGGATATTATATGTATATTTTTTACATGATGACATGGATATATTTTTTAAATTTTGTTTTAGCTGAACTTGAGAGCTAAAGTGTATATATTTGCGCTAACATGAGTAGTATGCTGTTTCTCACCTGGCTTAATTGAATTGAGTTTAATGATCTTCTGGAAAGTTGCAGCAGAATGAAATCTGAGTGCTGTTACAATTTGTTTTCACCATTGTTTCCAAAAAGTGGTTTGTAGGCAGAGATTGAGTATAGCTGAGATGTCTTGGTCCCAAGACTTTAGGGATTAGGAAAAAGATTAAATGGGCTCACGACTCCTTGTATATATAGGCATTAATTTTTGGATTCTACTTAAATATTTTGTTCATATAAAGTTTTCATTATTGTGGAAATAAACCAGGAGACTTTTTCACATTTTACTGAAGCTTCTTTTCTTTTCTTTTTTTTTGGTGGCGGGGGTGGAGTCTCACTCTGTTGCCCAGGCTGGAGTGCAGTGGCATGATATCGGCTCACTGCAACCTCTGTTTCTGGAGGTTAAGCGATTCTTCTGCCTCAGCCTCCCGGGTAGCTGGTATTACAGGCGCGCGCCACCATGCCTGGTTAATTTTTGTATGTTTAGTAGCGACGGGGTTTCACCATGTTGGCCAGGCTAGTCTCGAACTCCTGACCTCAGGTTATCCACCCGCCTCAACCTCCCAGTGCTGGGATTACAGGCGTGAGCCACCATGCCTGGCCATTTACTGAAGTTTCTTGACAAGCATTTGCATTAGAGGTGCAATGTAAATTAAATTCGTACTCTTGAACTATTTTCTTTTTAGGGTCCTGGTTCTTACATCATGAACTATATAATGTACATCTTCTGGGCCTTGAGTTTTGCCTTTCTTGCAGTTTCCCTGGTAAAGGTATTTGCTCCATATGCCTGTGGCTCTGGAATTCCAGAGGTAAGCCAAGTAATATTTAGTGTCATTAAACATTATTATGGTGCTTAACTTTTTGCCCTTAGTGATAATAGAAGTTGGCTTTTCTGGAGGGAGGGGATAGTTTGTTCATGGTATGAAAAATTTTTTTTAAAGTATAAGCTTTAAAATTGTAAAATTTGAAAATTACTGTTCCCTATAGTCATTTGATCATTTACTATGGAGGTTGATTTTTTTTTTTTCTCTCACCACTAATTTAACACATGACTAGGCAAATTTTCAGAAGATTTAGTTAAACATCAAGAGCCTGGAAGAACTGTCTTGTGACCTAACATTCTTTGATGGATTAGTTGTTGTTTTGCTATTATGACCCTGATTTTTTTTTTTTTTTTTTTTTTTTTTGAGAGTGAGTTTTGCTCTGTCACCCAGATGGGAGTGCAGTGGCGCTATCTCAGCTCATCGCAACCTCTGCGTCCCAGGCTCAAGCAATTCTTGTGTCTTAGCCTCCTGAGTAGCTGTGATTGCAGGCACGTGTCACCATGGCCAGCTAATTTTTCAATTTTTTTTTTTTTTTAGTAGAGATGGGGTTTCACCATGTTGGCCAGGCTGGTCTCAAACTCCTGACCTCAAGTGATCACCTGTCTCAGCCTCCCAAAGTGCTGGAATTACAGGTGTGAGCCACCGCACCTGGCTATGACCCTGATTTGGATTCATTCATTCTCTTTTTATAATTACCTTTTGATTAGATGTTAGTTATTCTTGAATTTGGCCATTTTATACTTTGAGAAAGTGGTTAATCACAGTGGGTCAATAATATAAACTTTTGGGTTTTATTTTTCATCACAATAGAATAGAGTTATACAGAGGATTGACTGAACTTGTTTTGAACTTGTTTCTTTTCTCTTTTATTTTTCTGTAGTTAAATAAGTTACCAACTTTTTCCTAAAACATTTCTTTTTAAAATGGAATTGTAGTGATCTTTAAGGTTGTATTAAGAATATCTTTCATAAAAAGCAATATGAGGCAGTATATAACAGTTGTCATTCATCCTTCTTGATATATAAAAAACTATTCCACATAATTATAGTACTTAGAGAAAACATAATATTATTATTTCTAACATAATGTCCAAAATATATTTAAAATATTATGCTTATTTTTACAACAGAAATATTCAAATTTGCCCTTTTTTTTGCTTATGTAATTATAATCCTTATAATTAAGGTCTGTATTCATTTTAACATGGCCTGATATTTTGATTTTGTTCCTGAGATGGAGTTACCCTCTCTCCTTTCTTGGGTAGAGAATTAGATTATAATATCAATTTATTATATGTAGCATAATAGGTAAAGTTTTTTAAAAATTAACTGTAAATTTTTCTGTAGGCTGCTAAAATTTGCAAGGTCATTTTTGTGCATAAAACAAGAAAATAACTTGGATTTGTTATATTCTTATGTTTCTTAAAGGACATTAAGCTGCCTTAATCTTTGCCTTGTAGATTAAAACTATTTTAAGTGGATTCATCATCAGAGGTTACTTGGGAAAATGGACTTTAATGATTAAAACCATCACATTAGTCCTGGCTGTGGCATCAGGTTTGAGTTTAGGAAAAGAAGGTCCCCTGGTACATGTTGCCTGTTGCTGCGGAAATATCTTTTCCTACCTCTTTCCAAAGTATAGCACAAACGAAGCTAAAAAAAGGGAGGTAAGTGTCTTTTGTAGTTAATTTGACTGAAAAATGTATATTGTATAGTGTTTATTTAAGTAAAGAATTTCTTCTTTTTTTTTTTTTTTTTTAGACAGAGTCTCGCTCTGTCGCCCAGGCTCGAGTGCAGTGGCCGGATCTCAGCTCACTGCAAGCTCCGCCTCCCAGGTTCACGCCATTCTCCTGCCTCAGCCTCCTGAGTAGCTGGGACTACAGGCGCCCGCCACCTCGCCCGGCTAGTTTTTTGTATTTTTTAGTAGAGATGGGGTTTCACCGTGTTAGCCAGGATGGTATCGATCTCCTGACCTCGTGATCCACCTGTCTCGGCCTCCCAAAGTGCTGGGATTACAGGCTTGAGCCACCGCGCCCAGCCTAAGTAAAGAATTTCTTAGTGTAAAAATAATAAATTCTGTATTCAGATAAAAAATGTTGAGATTAATGTGTGCTTCTTTTGTTTTTCCTGAATACTCTATAACATCTTTCTGGAATCCATTCCCAGTGCTGCTCAGTTAGTCTTACATTTTAGAGAAACTTTATAGATAGACAGCTGGTGTCCATTGGGTTTCAGTTGCATTTCATGAAGATCTTCCTGTTTTCACTTTACCTTACATCTTTCCTCTTCGGAAATGTTTTCTAAGCTTAGCTTTGTTTTTTACTCTTACTTTCAACATTAAGAGGTTGGGAAACCTTAATAGCTGTGTTTTCCTCCTGGAGGCAGCATCTGGTGCCAGTGTCAGTGATGTGTGATATGAAAAATGCCATCCAGCGCCGTGGGGAAGTTCTGAGGGCCTTTAGAAGCTCTTGAAGTTTAAATCAGAAATTCACATTAAAACGATTGCAAGAAATCCTTTTCATTTGATTGTTTAAGGCAATTTCCTTTACCGTTTCTTTAGGCCAGCCTGAGATCTTCTACAAGACCTTGAAACCTTATATATATTATATATTTCCTCTGATGTTTCTAGATCGCTCTGAGTATTTTCCTGAGTCCTTTATATTAGCTCTAGACTTTGGGAGCCCAGTCCCTTCCTATTTTCCAAATCTAAATCTACAGCCCCAGATGGTACAGAGATCTTTGGATTTTTAAGATATGATTTTTTTAAAAACCTCTCAAATACTGGCAGAACCTTTTCATCTTGTTGGGTTTTTTTTTAATGTTGGGTTTCATCTTGTTGGGTTTTTTTTCATCCTCTTGGGTTTTTTTTTAATGTACAAAAAAGTAGAATATTTTATCAAACTGTTTGATCTTCAGTTGAAATAATTCTAGTACATTTTAACGTTCACGTTAAAATATTGTCCTTGCATTGGCCATAGATATCCCAAAAATGGGATTCTTCAGATAGTCATAGTTTCATCTCTGAATAATTGTGGTTCCAGTACTTTACTATACAGCAAAAGTAGCTAGCATTATTGATTCCTTTCTATGTATCTAGTACTGTGGCAGATACTTTACTTGGACTTTAAAACTTAATTTCACAGTAATTTATTAATATGACCCCGTTATCCTTATTTAGAGATTAGGAAACTAGTGCTGAAAACAGCTAACTAACTTGCCGGAGACCACATACCTAGTTAGTGGCGGAACGTGGATTAAAATTCGTTTATCTTTGACTCCACAGTCTGTGGTTTTATGTACTATATTACTGCCCTTGCGACTGTGTGGGTATGTATTTGTGTGTGTTCAAAACAAAACTCAAAACCATCCTGTAGCGTAGCACGTTAGTGGCTAAGATGGAGCTAGAGCACCTGCCTCCTCAGTTCAGTTCTGTTACTTTCTGCTGTACCTTTATATTTTTTGGTAAGACTTTTATTCTAAATTCAAAAAATATAATTAGATGTTTAGAAATTAAGTTTACCTAAATGTTAATGTTCGTACTGTAATGATTAATGTTAAGATGTTGTTATTCTGTTACCTTAGTGTATATGTAAATGGCAAGAATTCAGTTAGTTGAAAGCATTAAGGTCCCATAGTTTTGTGTAGACAAGAGGAGAGAGCATTGATATTTTTAAATTAAATGCTTCTCAGATACGTATGAAATGGATTAAAACATGTATATGAGTTTTAGATACATAGGTGTTAGTTTGGTTGTAAATGCAGGATCAGGACAGTCAAATAAATATGTTTGCATTCCTTTTAGTAGGGGGAAGAAAAGGAGGTTAAATTTGCTCCCTTTCCTCCCCAAATAAGCAGAGTCTACATTCTAATGCCAACAATTTAATTAAAACAAATATTTATTTATTTTTAATTCACCAAACTTTTATAAAGTATTTACTGGATGCCAGGCACTGTTCTGAGCACTTTCTATATATTTACTCAATCCTTAAGAGCTAAGTAGTATTATCACATTTCCATTTTAGAGAAGAGAAAACTGAGGCACGTAGAGATTATCTACCTGTAATCATATAGCAAGTAAGTAGCAGAGCCATGATTTCAACACAGCAGCCTGACTATGGAGTTCATGATCTTAACCATTTACAGCTTAATTCTGATTACTTATAATTTCTCTTCTGGAAATGTAACAATTGACCATTTGAAGAAATACTTTAGGTAGCCTTGGATATTTGCTGGATTAAAGTAGTGAAAGGAATACAGACTCTTGGCTAGGCGTGTTGGCTCACACCTGTAATCCCAGCACTTTGGGAGGTGGAGGCAGGTGAATCACTTAAGGTCAGGAGTTCGAGACCAGCCTGGCCAACATGGTGAAACCCCGTCTCTACTGAAAATACAAAAATTAGCCAGGCGCGGTGGCAGGTGCCTGTAATCCCAGCTACTGGGGAGGCTGAGGCAGGAGAATCAGTTGAACCTGGGAGGTGGAGATTGCAGTGAGTCTAGACTGTGCCATTGCACTCCAGCCTGAGAGACAAGAGAAACTCTGTCTCCAAAAAAAATAAAGGAATACAGACTCCGAAAAATAATTACAAATAAAACCCTAGTGAAATTATAGGTGTAGTTGGCTTCATACTGGTGGGAAGCAGACCACTACCAATTAATAGACTGGGGAGCTGGAGAGAGGACATGGAAGAGTGTCCTTGGGTTTTTCTTTTCCTTTAAATTTTTGTAGAGGTGTTAGTTGGTGAGGCTGTAACTTGAGGAGCTGTTGTATGTGCTTTCAGAATGAGCCTCTCTAGACTGACAGTATGTTAGCAGTATTTCACAGGGCATAGGGTAGTGAAAATACAGGGGGTCTTACAAGGTCTTCAGTTCCCTGCGTATCTTGCTAGGATTTGGAATAGAGTATTGATGGTGGAGCAGTTAGCTCTAAAATTTGAAGAAATGATATCCTATTTAAAAATAGCTGCACATCCCAGTTACTGCCCTCCCCTCTTATCTACACAAGCATACATCTTGAAAATTGTCTATATTCATTGCTTCCTCTTCTTTACACCCTATTCACGTTAGTATATCTGGCAAAAAAAAATTTTAACTGAATAGTAAATGCGTGACTGACCTTTCAATTAAAGCACAGGAGAAAGAAACAAATCTTAATAGAAGAAATGAATACTTGCCCTTTGCTTAGGGAGCAAGGAAACACGAAAATTAAGTTCAGAAAGTCCATTTGGAAAATTCAAGTAACATGAAGAATTTTTATTTGGTATGTGTGAATTTCGGTGAAATTATGAAATAAGCCATATCCTCTTTCTAGGTGCTATCAGCTGCCTCAGCTGCAGGGGTTTCTGTAGCTTTTGGTGCACCAATTGGAGGAGTTCTTTTTAGCCTGGAGGAGGTAGGTGAAAAGAATACAACAATTAAAGCTATATATAATTACCATTGCAAATATATTTCACACATTTCAGTTTTATAGGTGATGTAATAGGTAAAGACTTTGTTTTCAAATTTAGTTTTCTAAAGTCGTTTTCCACTAATTCTTACATAAAAAGTAAATGTTATTCATGCTCCATACCTGGAGGAAACATTTGTTTTAATTTATTTATGTATAAATATTAGTAATTATTTAAAATCTAACTTTACTTTGTTGACGTATTTAAAAGTAAGAAGTTGTGAATTTGACTTAATAGAGGACACGTGAAACAATCTATTTCCATTGGCTGATTTCTGTATTTTTAGCAGAGATGGGGTTTCGCCACGTTGGCCAGGCTGTTTGTGTGTGTGTGTGTGTGTTTTGTTTTTTTGTTGTTGTTGTTGAGATGGAGTTTCGCTCTTGTTGCCCAGGCTGGAGTGCAATAGCGCGATCTTGGCTCGCTGCAACCTCCGCCTCCCGGGTTCAAATGATTCTCCTGCCTCAGCTTCCCAAGCAGTTTTTGTTTAAAAAATTTCAATCAAGTCCTACGTTGTGTTTTAAAGTTTTTCCCATGTAATTATTTCTGATACAGTTACTGCTGTTTAAGGAAATAATTTTAGTCACTTCAGTGGATTATTTTGTTTTTGTTTTCTTTTCACATAAAAATGTAACAAGGAATTTTTTTTAAGTATTTTTTTGACAAATAATAATTGTTTATGTTTATGGGGTATAATTTGATGTGTCTATACATGTATACATTGTGGAATATTCAAATCAGAGTGATTAGCAAATCCCTCAGATATTTATTATGTCCTTGTGGTTGTGAGAACATTTAAAATCCTCTCTTTTAGCTATTTTGAAATATATAATACATATTATTAACTGTAGTCACTTTACTGTTAAATAGAACACCAGAACTTATTCGTCCTCTGTAAGTTCATACCCATTGACTAACCTCTCCCCTTTCCCTGTTCACTTCTCCAACCCCCAGCCTCTGGTAACCCCTATTCTACTCTTGACTTCTATGAATTTAGCTCTTTTAGTTCAAGAATGTTTTTAAATTTACTTTTTTCTTTAGTTGTTTGTATTCTTTTTTCTTTTTTTAATGTAGAAGAGGCAAATTAAATGCATTATAAGTTAACAGGAGTTGGTGATGGTACATTTATTTTTAACTACCATGATTGAATTGAAGGTGAAACTCATTTTGAAAATAAAACAGGGCTAGGTATTCTAAATATTTATTGGACATTCATGATCAGTTGATACTGTGAATTTGTAATGATGATCACCATCTCCAAAAATAATAATAACATCAATTTTTCTTATTACCGTAAAATCCATTACATGTAAGTTATAACTACAGCAAAATTTAGAGCTAGGATATTTACCATTCAAGTTATAATATATCAGAAACATCTTATAAAATTATAGCATTAATTTTTCTTTCCCTTTTCTTTTTTTTAGGTTAGCTATTATTTTCCTCTCAAAACTTTATGGAGATCATTTTTTGCTGCTTTAGTGGCTGCATTTGTTTTGAGGTCCATCAATCCATTTGGTAACAGCCGTCTGGTCCTTTTTTATGTGGAGTATCATACACCATGGTACCTTTTTGAACTGTTTCCTTTTATTCTCCTAGGGGTATTTGGAGGGCTTTGGGGAGCCTTTTTCATTAGGGCAAATATTGCCTGGTGTCGTCGACGCAAGTCCACCAAATTTGGAAAGTATCCCGTTCTGGAAGTCATTATTGTTGCAGCCATTACTGCTGTGATAGCCTTCCCTAATCCATACACTAGGCTAAACACCAGTGAACTGATCAAAGAGCTTTTTACAGACTGTGGTCCCCTGGAATCCTCTTCTCTTTGTGACTACAGAAATGACATGAATGCCAGTAAAATTGTCGATGATATTCCTGATCGTCCAGCAGGCATTGGAGTATATTCAGCTATATGGCAGTTATGCCTGGCACTCATATTTAAAATCATAATGACAGTATTCACTTTTGGCATCAAGGTAAGTGCTAATGTAAGGTGATATTTGGGTAATCATGGCATGTTCAAAACTTGTATGTGAAATGAGAGAGGTTGTTGTTTCATAAGTGACTGAAAAAAGTACTTATCTTTTGAGTTTAATTTTAAGTAATGAAAAAGATAGTTCCTTAGCATATGTTGTTGACCATGTTATTTGTTGCTATTTAACAAATTGCCCCCAAACCTTAAAGCAGCTTAAGGTAACTACTTATTTTGTTCTTAATATTGGGTCAACGACTTGGGAAGGGCTCAACTGGGCATTTTTTGCTTGTGGTGTTTCATATAGTTGTTATTAGATATGGCGAGGGCTCATCATCTCAAAGCTTCTTTCATTTCCTTTTTAAAAAACTGTTTTTGTGGGTACACAGTAGCTATATATAGTTTTGGGGTACATGAAATCTTTTGAGAGGGGCATGCAGTAAATAATCTCAGTAAATGGAGTGTCCATCACCTCAAGCATTTATCCCTTGTGTTACAAACAATCCAATTATACTGTTAATTATTTTTGAGTGTACAATTAAATTATTATTGAGTATAGTTCAAAGACGTCTTCATTCATGATTAGGCTGAAAAGATTCATACACCTGGGCTCCTGGGATCAATCATGCGTACTGTCTCTCTCATGCTTACTCCCGCTCTCTCTCTCTCTTTCTCTAGCTTTCTTTTTCCTCTCTGTGGCTTTTCTAAGGTGGTGGCCTCAGGGAATTAGATTTCTTGTATCGTAGCTCAGGATTCCCAAGAGGGCTGTTTTTAATGTAGCCAAAGAAGTCTTGCAGCATGACTTGCTTTATTCTATTCATTGAGGCAGTCACAGAGGCCCACCCACATTCAGAGGAGGGACATATACTTACTGGGACAAGTGTCAGAGCATTCATGATCATGTTTTAAAACCACTTTTATTAGTTTCCTATTGCTGCTGTAATAAATTACCACAACTTAATGGCTTAAAAGCCATACAAATTTATTATCTTACAGTTCTGCAGATCAAAAGTCTGAAATGGATCTCACTGTGCTAAAATTAAGGTGTTCATAGGGCATTCTGGAGGCTGTAGGAGAGAGTCTGTTTTTTGCCTTTTCTGGCTATTAGAAGCTGTCAGCATTCCTTGGCTCCTGGCCCTCTGTTTGCATCTTCAAAGCCAGCAATGGCTGGTCAAGTCTTTCTCTTATCACTCTGACACAAACTCTGCTAAATCTCCCTTCCACATTTGAAAAACCTTTATGATTACTTTAGGCCCACCCAGATAAATCAGAAAATAATCTCCTTTTTTAAAGTCAGCTGCTTTGAAACTTTCTTTCTGCAACCTTAATTCCTCTTTGCCATGCAACGTAATGTAATCACAGGTTCTGGAAATTAAGTTGCGGACATCTTTGAGGAGCCATTATTCTGCTGCATAGCAGTATTGGGTGTTAGCTTGAAAGAACACTGCAGACTCAGTTGAATTACTAGATCTATAAATATATGCCTTTTTCCGTCAAGAACTTAAGGCAGCTGGGCCTTATGCCCTGGGACGTTGCTTCTTTTGGATTTATAAAATAACAAAATTTGTTGATTAATGGTCCATCAGTAAATATAATTTCTTATATGACTATCAGTGATATATATGGGGAAGCACATATCAGCTTATTCTTGTTCTTTAAATTACTGCCCCCTGTACTTCATGTAATAGTATTTGCTAGTGATAATATGCTTTTACAGATGTAAATTAATGTGGAATAGCAGCTTTATTTCTACAAAATTAGAGTGGTATTAGTTTTTAGGTCTCTTTTCTCTTGTCCTAAGTCTGTAGTCCACTGAGTATCAAGAGTTAAAAAATAGAAAAGCCTGGCCAGGCACAGTGGCTCGCACCTGTAATCCCAGCACTTTGGGAGGCCGAGGCAGGCAGATCATGATGTTAGGAGATCGAGACTATCCCGGCTAACACAGTGAAACCCCGTCTCTATTAAAAATACAAAAATTAGCCAGGCGTGGTGGCAGGTGCCTGTAATCCCAGCTACTTGGGAGGCTGAAGCAGGAAAATCACTTCAGCCCAGGAGGCGGAGGTTGCAGTGAGCCAAGTTCATGCCACTGCACTCCAGCCCAGGTGACAGGGTGAGACACTGTCTCAAAAAATAATAAGTAGAAAATAATAATAACAATAATGATAGAAAAACCTTAAAGTTTTACCTTTTTTCTTAGGGAATCAAGTTAAAAGAGCTGTTAAAGCTCTTTTTTGTACCGTAAGTAAGTGTTGGGTAAATCCCAACTTTCTCACAGTCAATTGAACTACAGGAAGCTGGAGGCAGTTGGCAGGCCTTTGTTAAGTCCCACCTTTGACTCAGCTCTGGCTGAAGGATCATACCTGGCAAGAGAGTGTAAAACACACTTTGATTTTTTTCTATTGTGTATTGTTTTAATGATCCTAATAGACTCAAACATGCCATCATTTTGAGTTTGGCTCATTTCATATTCAGAGTAGTTTATTACTCTTTCCGTATTTTTTTTTTTTTTTTTTTTTGAGACAGGATCTCACCTTTTCGCCCAGACTAGAGGGCAGTGTTGCAGTCTTGGCTCACTGCAACCTCCGCCTCCCAGGTTCAAGTGATTCTCCTGCCTCAGCCTCCCAAGTAGCTGGGATTACAGGTGTGTGCCATCACGCCCAGCTGATTTTTGTATTTTTAGTAGAGATGTGGTTTCGTCATGTTGGCCAGGCTGGTCTGGTACTCCTGACCTCAGGTGATCCTTTGGGAGGCCTTGGCCTCCGAAAGTGCTGGGATTATAGGCGTGAGCCACCGAACCTAGCCTCTTTCAGTAGTCTTTAAATAATCTTACTTATGGTGCTTCTTATCCCTATTTATTATCCTCATTAAATTTAATCAATAAATGTTCTCTTTTTAATTGATTCATATAAATAGAGTTGCCTGACAGATACAGGTTCAGTTCAGAGCACCACAATAAAGTGAATATCATAATAAAGTGAGGCACATGAAAGTCTTAGCTTCTTAGTGCGTATAAAAGTTCTGTTTACACTATGTTGTTGTCCGTTATGTGTGCAATAGCATTATGTCTTTTAAACAAGTAGCACTTTAATTTAAAAATACTTGATTGCTAAGAAGTACTAATAGTAATCTGAGTCTTCAGTGAGTTGTAATCTGTTTTGCTTCTGTAGAGTCTTGCCTTGATATTGGTGCTTACTGGAGGTAGGACTGGCTGTAGCAATTCTTAAGATAACAGTGAAATTTGCCACATTGATTGACACTTCCTTTCATGAAAGATTTATCTGTAGCATGTGATGCTGTTTGATACCATTTTACCTACAGTAGAACTTCTTTTCAAAATTAGAGTTATTCTCTCAAATCCTGCTACTGTAAGCTTTATCAAGTAAGTTTATGGAAAATTCAAAATCTTTTGTCCTTTTAACCGAGTGTTCACAACATCTTTACCAGGAGTGGGTTCCACCTCAAGAAACCACTTTCTTTGCTCATCCATAATAAGTAACTCCTTATACATTTACGTTTTTTTAATGAGATTCTAGCACTTCAGTCACATCTTTAGTCCACACTTATCATTCTAGTTCTCTTGCTGTTTCCACCACTCTGTGGTTACTTCCTCAACTGAAGTCTTGAACCCCTCAAAGTCATTCATGAGAGCTGGAATCATCAATTTCTTCCAAACTCCCATTAATATTAATATTTTGACCTCCTCCCATGAAACATAAATGTTCTGGATGGCATCTAGAATAGTGAATACTTTTTTGAACGTTTTCAATTTACTTTGCCCAGACCCATCCAAGAAATTATCCGTAGTGGGTTTCCAAGTTATCAGGGGCGAATCCATACAGATCTTCAGCAACCTCAACTCTTGCCTTCTCAGAGGAAAGAATTCTACTGAGGGACATAAGGCAGAAAAACAGACTGAGGCAAGTTTTAGAGCAGGAATGAACGTTTATGAAAAAGCTTTAGAGTGGTAATGAAAAGAAGTTAAAATACACTTGAAAGAGGGCCAAGCGGGCATCTTGGAAGACAAGGGCCCCTTTGGCTTTGGACTCAGGGTTTTATATGTTGGCATACTTCCGACATCTCGCATCCCTATTCCATTGATTGTTCTTTCGGGGTGAGCTGCCCACATGCGCAGTAGCCTACTGGCACTTGGGAGGGGAGTGTGCGAAGTGTATTTACTGGAGTTGTATGCATGCTTACCTGAGGTGTTTGTCGCTTAGTGGCCGAATGTCCCTAGGAGGTTGTATTTCAGTTAAACTCCGCGATTTTGCCTATAAATGTGCGTGCCTGAGCCCACTCACCCAACTCCTGGGATCTTATCAGAAAGCTGCTGATAGCTAGTTTCAGGTGTTTCTATCTATTGGAAGACTGCCTTTCCCTGACACTGGCTGCAACCAATTATTATTTTAGAGAGACAGCATGAGAGCTATCTGACTATCATCCGTTGATGGTTGCCTGACATTCCTGGTGAGGTTGCGGGGATCCCTCTCCTGCCTAGCTCATGCCTGACTAGCTACCTGCTGTAACAAAAGCACTATCTATGGTAGCTGTAGCCATAGGAAATGCATTTCTTCAATAAAACTTAAAAGTCAAAATTAGTCCTTAAAACAACATGAATCTCCTTGTACATCTCCATCAGAACTCTTGGGATACCAGGTGCATTATTGGTGATGAGTAATATTTTAAAAGAAATCTTTTTGTCTGAGCAGTAGGTCTCAACAGTGGGCTTAAAATAGTCAGTAAACCATGCTGTAAACAGATACACTGTTATCCAGGCTTTGTTGTTCCATCTATAGAGCACAGAGAGAGTAGATTAGCATAATTTTTAAGGGCACTAGAATTTTCAGAATGGCAAACTAGCACTGGCTTCAACGTAAAGCCACCAACTGCATTAGCCCCTAACAAGAGAGTCAGGCTGTCCGTTGAAGCTTTGAAACCAAGCACTGGCTTTTCCTCTCTAGCTGTGGAAGTCCTAGATAACATCATCTTCCATAAAGGCTGTTTCATCTATGTTGAAAATCTGTTGTTTAATGTGGCCACCTTCATCAACAACCTCAGCTAGATCTTCTATATCACCTGCTACAGCTTCTACATCAGCACTTGCTGCTTCACCTTACACTTTTTTTTTTTTTGAGATGGAGTCTCGCTCTGTCGCCCAGGCTGAAGTACAGTGACATGATCTCAGCTCACTGCAAGCTCCGCCTCCCAGGTTCATGCCATTCTCCTGCCTCAGCCTCCTGAGTAGCTGGGACTACAGGCGCCTGCCACCACACCCAGCTAATTTTTTTGTATTTTTAGTAGAGACGGGTTTTCACCATGTTAGCCAGGATGGTCTCAATCTCCTGACCTCGTGATCCGCCCACCTCAGCCTCCCAACACCTTACACTTTTTATTTTATGTTGCAGAGACAGCTTCTTTCCTTAAACCTCATGAACCAACCTCTGCGAGCTCCCAGTTTTTCTTCTGTAGCTTCCTCACCTCTTTAACCCCTGATAGACTTGAAGAAAGTGAGGACTTTGCTCTGGATTAGGTTTTGATTTAAGGGAATATTGTGGCTGGTTTGATCTTCTGTCTAGACCACTCAAGACTTTCTTCATATCAATAATAAGGCTATTTTACTTTTTTTAAATCATTATGTGTTCACTGAAATAGCACTTGTAATTTAATTCAAGAACTTTTCTTTTGAATTCATGACTTGGCTGACTGCGGCTAGAGGCTGAGATTTTGGCCCCCCCTCAGCTTTCAACATGCCTTCTTCACTAAGCTTAATTATTTTTAGCTTTCTTATTATTATTTTTTTTTTTTCTTGAGACAGAGTCTCGCTCTGTCGCCCAGTCTGGAGTGCAGTGGCCGGATCTCAGCTCACTGCAAACTCCGCTTCCCGGGTTTACACCATTCTCCTGCCTCAGCTTCCCGAGTAGCTGGGACTACAGGTGCCCGCCACCTTGCCCGGCCACTTACTTATTTCTTTGAGACAGGATCTCATTTTGTCATCCAGGCTGGAGTGCTCATTGCTCACTGTAGCCTTGAACTCCTGGGCTCAAGTGATCCTGCCGACTCAGCCTTGTGAGTGGCTGGGACTACAGGCATGTACCACCACACCAGCCTGTTTTTTGTTTTTTGGGTTTTTTTTTGTAGAGATGGGTCTTACTATGTTGCCCAGGCTAGTCTCTAACTCCTGACCTCAAGTGATCCTTCTGTCTTGGCCTCCCAAAGGATGGAGATTACAGGCGTGAGCCACAATACCTGGCCATTTTTAGCTGTTGATATAAAGTGAGAGACGTGACTTTTTTTTGAGACAGAGTCTTGCTCTGTTGCTCAGGCTGGAATGCAGTAGCGCCATTTAAGCTCACTGCAGCCTCTGCCTGCTAAGTTCAAGCGATTCTCCTGCCTCAGTCTCACGAGTAGCTGGGACTACAGGTGTGCACTATGAGGTCTGGCTAATTTTTGTATTTTTAGTAGAGATGGGGTTTTCCCACGTTGGCCAGGCTGGTTTCGAACTCCTGGCCTCAAGTGATCCACCCACCTCAGCCTCCCAAAGTGCTGGAATTACAGGCTTGAGCCACCACGCCCAGCCGAGAGACGTGACTTCTGCTTTCAGTTGAACACTTAGAGACCATTGTAGGGTTCTTAGTTGGACTGATTTCAGTATCACTGGGTCTCAGGGAATAGGGAAGCCTGAGGAGAGAAAGAGAGACAGGGGAACAGCCAGTTAGTGGAACAGTCAGACCACATACAACACATTAAATTCACTTTCTTCTATGGGCATGGTTCATGGTGCAGTAAAACAGTTGTAACAATAACATCAAAGATCATTAATCACAGAGCACTATAACATATAATAATAGTGAAAAGTTTCAAAGTATTGAGAGAATTAGCAAAATGTGATACAGAGACAGAAGGGAGCACATGCTGATGGACTAGCTTAATGCAGGGATGTCAGAAACCTCCAATTTGTAAAAACCACAATTGTGTTATTATTGTGTGAAGCGCAATAACACAAAGCATAATAAAACGAGGTATGTCTATATCAGTCAAAATATTGGACAACTCTGGTAAGTCTGTCCACTTAGCATCGTACCACTGAAGATGAATAGCACCTACCATTTTCATCATTCATAAATATGTAGGAGGACATAATCACATAATCTTGAAGTAAAAGACAGTGCTTAAAACTGAATCAGTTGAGTTTTATGAAAAATACTTCATATTGTCCATTTAAAAATACATATTTTTTTAATTTCAGTAGCTTTGGGGTTACAAGTGGTCTTTGGTTACATGGATGAATTCTATAATGGTGAATTCTGAGATTTTATTGCACCTGTCACCCAATATTGTATCCAGAATATTGTCCTTTTTTTTTTTTTCATTTCACCATGGACTAATGAAAATTTTGTTAGGGACTGACATTAGGGCACCCTTGAGCTAAAGGAAATAACTCTTGAGTTGTTTTCTCTTTGGCCTAAAGAATGTGGTTTATTTTGTAACTGAATTCATGGGATTGTTAAGGTACAAGATTTTGCTACAGTTTTATTTGTACTAGGATTTTGCTGTATTAATGTGAATAGAATCAAAAATGTTAGAAACAAATACATGGAATATAAGTTTCAAGCATGTGAGTAGAGGATCTCTGCCCCATTAAAAGTTCTGTTCTTGTTATAGGTTCCATCAGGCTTGTTCATCCCCAGCATGGCCATTGGAGCGATCGCAGGAAGGATTGTGGGGATTGCGGTGGAGCAGCTTGCCTACTATCACCATGACTGGTTTATCTTTAAGGAGTGGTGTGAGGTTGGGGCCGATTGCATTACACCTGGCCTTTATGCCATGGTTGGTGCTGCTGCATGCTTAGGTAATATGGCTGTGTCTGCCTGTGTGTGGATGTTTGCTAGTTTGAGAGAGCCAAGACAAAGTGGGACACATTCTTGCTTAATTGGTGGGCAGATTGGTTGAGTAAAGGAGGGTGCAGGGAGGAAATGTTTTAACAGATAAGAAACAGTAGTACTATTAGGGTATTATTCAGTACCGGTTTTCTGTCTTACAACATTTGTTAATACAAGAATTTACTGGAATTAACATATTGTAATATAACTTAATACTTTATGGCAGAAGCCATCTAAGTACAACATAAGCTTAATTTGAATCCTGACCAAAGAGGTCTTTGATTCTTTCATTGTTAAGGATCTTGGCTTACCTATAGCAACTATAGCTTGATACCTAAGATTAGCATTGCAACAAAGTTTCAGAGGAGCTTGACTTTGGTTCTGAAATGATTTAGTGTTAGCCTTAGTAACAGATGTATTTACCCATGCTCCATCATCTAAGCTGTACATTACAAAATAACTGTTCATTTTAATGAGAAGAAAAGCAAAATACCTACATTAAATACTTGAGTCTATTCAATGTCTATTGGGGCAGGAAAAAATAGTTATTGCTTTTCATATTTAAAATGTCAGCTAAACTTTGGTTATAATATTAAATAATAGTTGCCATTTTGACCAGTTTTGTTTAGTGAATAAAAATTATGTGATTGTTGATCTTTTAAAATGTATTATCAATTAAAAGGGAAGGACAGAATCATTTTCACTGAATTAGCAAGTATTTATTAAGTGGCCACTTTCTTTTAGCATTATGCTAGATACAGTGAGTAATACAAAAAGAACATGGACCCAATCTCAACTCTAATCAAGTTGAGGAGACAAGATGAACACTGAGAATACAATAGTGAGGAATATTAACAAATATATACAAGTTTAAAAGAGTCTAAGTATGGTAGGAATATAGGGGAAGAAAGAGCTGAAGTACTTCAGAAAGAATGGGCATGAGCTTTATTTGAAAGATCAGCAGAATTTAAGGAAAAGGTGAGTTTGTTGAAGATTATAATGTGAAGACGAACTAGGATGGGAATAAATTTTGTATTCATAAGGCTTTGAAGAAATTGACTCTAAGTAGAGAGTACATTTTGGGTACTTTTGGGAAATGAAGTTGGATTGGTGAGAAGGAACGGATTATGAAAAGACAAGAAACCTGATTAATGTCAGGATGATTTTATATTTGAAGTTGGTCAGATTTGTGGCAGTCCTAGCTTTGTCATTTTTAGTTTGATGACTTTGAGAAAGTTCCTTCTTGAAGTTTTAATTTTCTGTATATAAAAAGGAATAACAGCTGGTGATCTGCTAGGATTGTTTTGAGGATTACATGAGATAAAATGCATGTAAAGCTGTTATAATAGTGCCTGGTGAAATAAGTGCCTAGTTTGAAAAACAAGTCTTTGTAAACTGATTAGGACATGCCTGACATAGGGTAGGTATGTAATATATGGTAGGACCTGTCTCCTTTCTATTTTTAGGTAAAAAACAAAGGGAAGAGCTTGAGCTTAATACAGTATGAACTGACAAGCCCTGGTAGGTTTTTGAGCAAAAGAGCAACACAATAAAAGTAGTACTTAGGAAAGATTAGCCAGGGAACATGGCTTATACAGTGGTAATGGGGCCTGGAGTCAAGGAGGTCAGAGAAAATGGTATTATAATTAAGGAATAGCAGGCATGATGGCACATGTGTGTAATGCCAGCTACTGGAGAGGCTGAGGTGGGAGGATCATGGGAGCCCAGGAGTTTGAGACCAGCCTGGGCAACTGAGTGAGACCCCAAATCCTTAAAAAATACAAAGTAAAAAAGGAATAGTCATGAGGGCTTAGACTGAGTTGATAACAGTGAGAATCCCATAGGTAGTGTGAACACAGCTCACTGCGGCCTCAAGCCCCTGGCCCAAATGAGCCTCCCACCTCAGCGTCCAAGTAGCTGGGACCACAGACATACACCAGCGTGCCTGGCTACTTTTTTTAGTTTTTATTTTTGTAGAGACAGGGTCTCACTGTATTGCCCAGGCTGATCTCAAACTCCTGGACTTAAGTGATCTTCCTACCTCGGCCTCCCAAAGTGCTGAGATTACAGGCATGAGCCACTGTGCCTGGCCCAAATAGTTTTCTGTGGGTGGATATTACTTGCATCGTTAATGTAAATCAAAGGCATCAAAGTATTTTACTCTTTTTGAAAAAAATTTAGAGGAGAAATTTATTATATTAACATTCTACCCATATATGAGTTTAATTTGTAGATTGTAGCAAAGAAAACCATGATGTCCTTTACCAAATTCCTTAATAATTAGAATAATAAGCTTGTATAAGGCTTAAATTATGTCTTTGCTACAGCAGTAAACGAAAATGGCAAAATTGTTTTAGTTGATAAACTTTGATTTTTTAAAATGTGAAATAAACAGGTTTTTAAAATGTTATTTTAATAGTCTTCTCTGTTATAAACAAAGAAAATTGGTGTTTCTCTAGATTTTATTAAAAGTAGTGATTATTGTCCTAAAAGAGGAGTAGCAGTTTTAGATGATATGCTTTTCCCTGACTGAGTTATATTTGCCATTTGGTTTTAACTGCCTACTGCAAAAGTTCTAATAAAATGTAATGGTGAGGATCCTATCCTTCCTGACCAGTGGGTGCTTGCTTTTTTCAGGTGGTGTGACAAGAATGACTGTCTCCCTGGTGGTGATTGTTTTCGAGCTCACTGGAGGCTTGGAATATATTGTTCCCCTTATGGCTGCAGTCATGACCAGTAAATGGGTTGGAGATGCCTTTGGCAGGGAAGGCATTTATGAAGCGCACATCCGATTAAATGGATACCCTTTCTTGGATGCAAAAGAAGAATTCACTCACACCACCCTGGCTGCTGACGTCATGAGACCTCGAAGGAACGATCCTCCCTTAGCTGTCCTGACACAGGACAATATGACAGTGGATGATATAGAAAACATGATTAATGAAACCAGCTACAATGGATTTCCTGTCATAATGTCAAAAGAATCTCAGAGATTAGTGGGATTTGCCCTCAGAAGAGACCTGACAATTGCAATAGGTACCTTTTCAAAAATATATATATGTATATATGAGATGGATTTCTGGAAGAAAGGAAAGCAATAAGCAATAACATTTAATGGGTTGGATTTGTGGGGGCAAGGGACGTTATTTTATGTCCCTTAAAATCTTCTGTTCTTTAGGAAAGGAAGGTATGCTTCAGTGGATGGTTTTCTGCTAAATACAGTTTTATCTTTTGATCTGGCATTGTACCAGAAATTGGAGTCAAATTCTTTTCCCACTCCGATAAGCCTTGATAGTTGATCTTGGTTATTCAAAATAGCATGTAATGTAAGACCTTAGCTAAATGCATTCAGTCAAATACATTCTTGTATTTAATAAAGTTGGCTTATTGGAATACAAGTTATTGAAAATCTCATCTTCATCAGTCTCTTTTTTAACACTGTTTTGCTTTATCAGTCTTCGGAGTTAGGATTATAATGATTATAATATTAATGTATAATAAATGATTTAAAGTGACTATCACTGAGATTTTTATTTCTGATCGAATGCCAGGTTGAAAAAGTATAATGTATCAGTCCTGTTGTGTTTTATGCAGAATTTCCTGAAAGTACTAGTTAAAGGTATTAGCCATGGTATATTTCTTGGAGATAAACTTTCTACCGTTGTATTTCTCTAAAATTTGTTTTTCTCTTTACCTTATAGTCTTGCAGTATTGATGAGGAGGCCATTAAGACTTAATTTTTTTTTGGTGCAATCTTATATCTCTTCCTCCAACCGCTAAAAAGTGACTGAGGATAGGTACATCAAGCCATTGCTTTGTTACTCCCCAGTTTTTAGTACTGACCCTGAATGGAAGTGTCAAGCCTTTGGTCTGTCTGAAAGGTCATTCCTGTGAGCGTATCATCTCCCTTCCAGCTTACCCGTGTGGCCATTGCAAAAGGATTTAAAAATAATTTTTGTGCCATTTGAATGGCACACAACCAGACAGTGTATATGGGGGAGTGTTTCTCAAATCAAACTGGAAAGTCTTGAATTTGTAAGAACCATTAGGCAGAGAGAGAGAAAAGAAAGAAAAAGAAAAAAGGTCCTACAGAGAACAGCTTGTTCGGTTTGGGAACAGGCTACAGCTTTGGAAGGATTTTTCAAGGCCTAGCAAATCCCATCATTCTAAATTTTACTTAGCTAATACAATAGTAGTTGCCAGTGCTGATGACAAAGTATTTTGTCATGCTTGGCTCCATTCAAGCATTTTAGTTTTTTAGCCATTACCATGGCTAGATCTAGTCAGAAAATAATATCATTGTTTAAGATTCCCATTCTCTAGTTTTTACTAGTAGCCAGCCAAAGAAAAGAAAAAGGAGGTCAGAATTTTGGTATTTATATAGAAATTTAGGGGGAAAAGGCCAGGCAGGTTTTTAAAGTGTGGAAATTAAGAACTATTCATTATCCCACTGATTGTGTGGATGTATTTTTTAAAGTTTCGTCACTGTCTTGGGAGAGAGAATATTGAGATAGGAGATAATGTTGGTTTAAGGGAATGAGGGTACTTTCTGTAGGTGAGGTGTCAAGCCATGTCATCAGAAATGTTAGTCACATGACTTATTAAGCACACCTTAAATGTTTTACCCATGTTTTTGTAAAGTTTTAATTTTTAACTGTAATTTTTCCAAGTTTAATTTTTAACTGGGAAAAACAGACCTGTATACTACGTTTTATATATATATATAAATTTAAAATTACATATGTTTATATATGTAATTTTTATATGGGAGAGATATATATATTCTCTATATCTATATTAAAAGTACATATCTATATGTGAAAATTATGTAAATATATATAAATTATGTAATTATAAATATAATATAAATATATAAATATTTACATAATTACATTATATATAGGTTTTATATATAGAAAACCTAGTGTACAGGTCTCTATATAAATTAAAAATGTATGTATTATATATAGTTATATAATACATATAATTTATATAATGATAAATACTTTATTGAAGGACAAAAAAATTTTCATGCTGTCTCATAAAATAAAATGGTTGAAATATGCTAAACAAGATCGATTCCCCTGTTTCATACTAAAGCAGAATGTTGTAAAATATTAGATCCAAATGAGATGTCTCAGATTACTTAGGGCCATTACAACAGGAATGTGGAGACTTTTAAAACAAATGTCTGAGGCCATGCATGTTGGCTCATGCCTGTAATCCTAGCACTTTGGGAAGCTGAAGCAGGTGGATCACTTGAGGCCAGGAGTTTGAGACCAGCCTGACCAACATGGTGAAATCCTACCTCTACTACTAAATCCAAAAAAATACATGAGTGTGGTGGCGCATGCCTGTAATTCCAGCTACTTGGGAGGCTGAGGCAGGAGAATCACTTGAACCTGGGAGGCGGAGGTTGCAGTGAGCCAAGATCGCACCACTGCACTCCAGCCTGGGTGACAGAGCAAAACCCTGTCTCAAAAAGAAAAAAAAAAAGCCTGAATTATATCAGAAAATAAAAACTAATGTTGTTCTTTGTTTCAGAGGCCCTTGAATGAACAGCACCAAAAATATTCTTTTAAAAATGAAGAAAATGAAAATTGTAATGTTCTTTATTTCAAAGGCCCTTGAATGAATAGCATCAAAAATATTTTTAAATGGGAGGCCAGGGTGGGAGGTTTGTTTGGCACTAGGAGATCAAGCCCAGCTTGGGTAACATAGCAAGACCTCGGTCTCTACCAAAAAAAAAAATTGGCTGAGTGTGGTGGTGCCACCTGTAGTCCTAGCTACCGGGAACGCTGATGCAGGAGGATCCCTGGGACCCTGGAGTCCAGAGTGAGACCCTGTCTCTAAAAACAAACAAACGAAAAAACTGTATTTATGTAAAAGTAATACTTGTTTTTTACATTTTATTTATTCTTAATTGATAAAAATTGTATGTTTATGTCATGTGTATATTGTGGAATGATTAAATCAGGCTAATTAACTCATTTTTTTTTGTGTGGGGAGAGTATCTAAAATCCCTCTCCTTAACAATTTCCAAATGAAATGAAAGATTAAAAGTAATTTATTTTTTTGAGACAGCATCTCACCCTGTTTCTCAGGCCAGAATGCAGTGGCACGATCTTAGCTCACTTCAGCCTCGACTTCCCCGGCATCAGGTGATCCTCCCACTTCACTCTCCTGATTAGCTAGGACTACAGGCACGCACCACCATGACTGGCTAAATTTTGTATTTCTTGTATAGACAAGGTTTTGCCATGTTGCCCAGGATGGTCTCAAGCTCCTGGACTCAAACGATCTACCTGCCTCAGCCTCCTGAAGTGCTGGGATTACAAGTGTGAGCCACCACACCTGGCGAAAAGTGTTATTTTTTAAATGACAAATTTAAGTCAAAGAGATTGAATGTTCACTTCTGATGCTTTGTATGTAGGAGAAACTTTCCATTAAATAATTTTTTAAAAATTTCTAAAATTACGTATTTTGTTATTAAATGTTTAAATCAGTATAATTTCATTGATGATATACTGTTTGTTACTTTGTCGGTGTTTAAGATTGATAATTGGGGTTAGTTTTAATTCAGAACGTTTCTCTATTTAATATCACACTTCATATCTTTTTATGTTGTATATCTATTAATGAATTATTTTAGCTATAGTTATTATTCTTTTAGAGATGAGGTCTTCCGTGTTGCCTAGGGTAGACTCGAACTCCTGGGCTTCAGCAGTCCCCTCTCCTCAACCTCTGGAGCAGCTGGGATTACAGACGCGTGCCACTGTACCTGGCCTGCTGTAGTTCTTTTAATTCTTCTTTCAACTTTTACACTAGAGTTAGAAATGATTTACAAACCCCATTGTAGTTTTAGAGCATTCTGAATTTGGCTATATATTTCTTGTGACAACTAAAGTTGCATACAAAAATTATAGAGTTTTACTCCCCCATCCACATTTTATGCTATTGATGTCACACTTTACGTCTTATTTTGTGAATCCATTAATGATACTTCTCGTAGTTTTACACTCCACTATTCAGTTGTCAGACACCATTCAGTTGGTAGATTGTTATGAGCTTAAAGCAACTTAATGGGTATTTTTCAAAAAATCATTTATGTCAGTTGCTAATGGACTTCTTTTCTATGCTATGATCTTTTTTTTTTTTTGAAACAGAGTTTCACTCTTGTTGCCCGGGCTGTAGTGCAATGGGCGCGGCCTCGGCTCGCTGCAACCTCCACTTCCCGGGTTCAAGCGATTCTCCTACCTCAGCTGGGATTACAGGCATGCACCACCATGCCAGCTAATTTTGTATTTTTAGTAGAGACAGGGTTTCACCACGTTGGCCAGGCTGGTCTTGAACTCCTGACCTCCGTTGATGCGCCCGCCTTGGCCTCCCAAAGTGCTGGGATTACAGACGTGAGCTCCTGCACCCGGCCTGATCATGCTTTTAAGGTGGTCGAGTAAGTACTAGTTGCTGGGGCTTTACTTAGTAGCCTTCCTACTCAAATGTGTTAGAACATGGTTAAGAAGGCTGTAGTGTTCAAAAGGAGTAAAAAGCAGTGCATTGTTTGCAGTAATATCTGCTTCTCAATTTAGGACTGATGCTTATTATGGCTTAAATATTTTTGTAGTAAAATTTGTGTTCAAAATATAATTTTTCTTTTTGAGACAGAGTCTCGCTTTGTCACCCAGGCTGGAGTGCAGTGGCATGATCATGGCTTACTGCAGCCCTGAACTTCTGGGCTCAAGTGATCTTTCCACCTCAGCCTCCCAATTTGCTGGGACAACCATCATGCGTAGCTAATTTTTTTTTTTTTTTTTTTTTTGTAGAAACAAGGTCTCTCTATGTTGCCTAGGCTGGTCTTGAACTTCAGGGCACATGTGATCCTCCTGCCTCAGCCTCCCAAAGTGTTAGGATTATAAGCCTGAGCCACCATGGCCGGCCAAAATATTTTCACTATAACAAATATCATATCTGTATATACTCAGTTTTAATACTAACTCAAAGTAGAAACGTAAAGCCGAATGACTATTTTATTTTTAGATTCTCTTCATTGAGTTTCCTTCTCCGTCTGGTGTGATCTCTGAACTTTTCTCTGTCTTTGCCACTTCTTGTCTAGGACTTTCTTTTTTTTTTAATCACCAGTTTCATTCAGATTTTTGTTTTCTTTCTTTCAACGGTAGAGTGGAAGTAGGCAGCAGGACAGAAGAACTTGAAGCAGAGCACACTGGAGAGAAGTTAACAAAGCCTTTACAAAGAAAACAAGCCCCCAAAATCAGTCTGTGTGCATTATGTGCATAATTGTAGCTTCATCTCATCTGTAATGTTCATGACTCTTCTAGAAAATTATACTTTAACATGAGAAAAGAAAAAGAACCAGCTAATTCATAGGGATGGAGGATGCAGCATAATCAAAGCAAGGATGAAACTCTCTTTCGTGCCACCTCCAGTGCAGAATAAGTAACATTCAGCAGAGGCAGGCTTCATTTGATGATGGATTCCTTTAATACACTGCGCTCAGAATTTGTGCAGGTTTTAAAATCCCATATTCCAAACCCACTTCCTTAGCCCCCAAGTTAGAAAACAGCTTCAGTAAAGAAAAGTGTACAATGATATAACTACCAAAAAATACTTTCTTCCATGAAGATGATATATTATTGTTGACTTCTAATTCAATCAAATATAAAAAATTGCTAAGTGGCTTTTCAGTTGACTCCTTTCTTGGTTAAGGAGAAGATAGGAAAAAATGAAGGGATCAGAAGTCATAGGATACATTAGTTTCTTTTTATTGCTGAATAAACAGGTTGCCTACTTAAAAATCTATCAATTTTAAGGTGTTGGTCTCCTCTCTCTTTTCAGAAAGTGCCAGGAAAAAACAAGAAGGTATTGTTGGCAGTTCTCGGGTGTGTTTTGCACAGCACACCCCATCTCTTCCAGCAGAAAGTCCTCGGCCATTGAAGCTTCGAAGCATTCTTGACATGAGCCCTTTTACAGTGACAGACCACACCCCAATGGAGATTGTGGTGGATATTTTCCGAAAGCTGGGACTGAGGCAGTGCCTTGTAACTCACAATGGGTAAGTCTGGTACCACAGGAATCCGTTCACTTGCTAGAATGTAGGATCCTTTTTAGTGGAATCTGTATAGTTATTAGGGGAGCATGTGAGTCAGCTCCCAGGTGGGAAAGTCTGTCGTATGGTATAGGCACAAATACAGGATCAGTCAATCAAATTTCACATTTACTATAGAATAAGAAAGATGTCATCTGCCTGCTCTTTGCCAAACAGTGGCATTTGTAAATAATCCCTCAAAGTTGGAAAAGAGGTGCTGAAAGATCTCCAGCATGAAAGCATGTTGAGCTTAGAGTGCTGCTTTTCCTAGGGGAAGAGTGGACCTAACTTGTATGGAGCACTGCAAAACCCTGTATTATTTTTGTAAATGTTTCATTTTTAGTATATAAGTTTCTAGTACAATAAGTTTCTAGATATTTTGCTATTTACTCTTTCAGCCAGTATTTGATTTATCATGTAATGAAGGAAAGAATATATAATTAAATGAAATTTGTAAATTAGCTAAAAATCTCCTTTAACAAATGCTTTGTTTCCTTTTGTCTACCTTCTCTATACACAAATCTTTTATATTTATATAACTGCTAAAGACAAATACTCATGTATTTAAAATGCATACATTGATAATTTATTTTTCCACCTTTTACACATGGACTGCCAGTGTTTCTCCATTGACAGGAATATAGGAAAGAGACAGATATCATGGGGGTTGTGGAGACCTTAATGCGCAAAATTAATTTGGCAAATACACTACTTCATCACCACTGCTCTTTTCCTGGACCTCGGATCTGTTTCTCCACACTTCTTTCTTTAGGACCCTTTATTTCTACCATATATTCTTTCTTGTTGAACTTAAGAATGTTGTTTTATCTGAAGGCAAATACCAGAAAGGCTAGAGAGGAAAAACAGAGGGTGTTGGATTATGCATAAACCGAATGGCTAATCCTGAACAGCGTAAGACTGGTTGAAATACTAAACACTTAGAGAATCTTAGCAGTTTTTTTTTTTTTTTAACATGTTATGGAAAACGCATTGGTGACAGAATACGTGACTCCTGTCCAGAGAAAGGAGAAGAAAAGAACAAAAAAGGAAGGACATTTGTTTATTGAACACCTTCGTATTTTCTCATTTAACTTTGTGGGACCTCTGCAAAGTAGATAGTTATATCCCTACTTTACAGATGTAGTAATTAAAGCTCAAAAAGCTTCGATAATTTGCCCAAAGTCATGTGGTGAACAAGTCATGGTTCAAGGAATCAAACTGTCTTCCCGACTTGAAAACCCAGTCTCTTGCTACTGTTTTGCGCTTAAGTGACTGATAGAAATTCTCTTTCTTTGTGATTTCTTAAACTACTAAAACATTTTCTTGGCCAACGTATTAGATTGGGTTAAGAATAGAAATATGAAATTAGAGAATTAGATCTATGTTTAGTGTTTTTCACTGTGCTAGTTAAAATAACTTCAGGAATATGAAATAAATCATTAAAGAGATAAAGCCCTTAATTAAAGGCAGGGAGTTTAGAATTATTAAATACCACAGATACTGATTGGAGAAGAGATGTATGTCATAAATTATTACTGTTACTATTTTTCTTTGTGTAATATTGTTTGAATAAATAATGGCACCAACTTCATTAATTTTAAAAACTCAGTACTAAATGGGGTAACTTTTCATAAAGCTTTGCTAGTCCTTGAGCCCTTTTATTTATTAAGTGGCTCAGTTGGAACCTAAGCTGAGTTGTTACAAACTATTATTTGCTTCAAGTTGTTTTCTGTTCCTGGCATGGCTTTTTCTTTTGTGTACTAACAAATGTAAATGTTATTCTGTTGAGTTATGGTTAACTATGATCACAGAACTTTTAGGGATTAATTTTCATATTTCAGTTTGTTGATTAATTCCCAAGTATTTGGCAGTGTAGATATCAGAAAGGAAAATGTTTAAAAGAAAGTGTAAAAATAACGAAGTGTGTAGGGCGAGGGGTGGATAGCTAATTAAAATTTTGTCTGGTCCTGCCTGTTCATATGAAAGAAGGGGTTGGACTTTCTTCTAAGGGAATATATTTAATTGCTTTCATCATATTTTCCTTATTCTGTCTGTCAAGGAAAATAAATTGATACTTGTATGGGAAGAAAAGAGATCATTTAGGGAAGTGGCTCATGGGACTTTATTTTGTTTGAAGTGTGTTAGGAAATCAGGTGTTTTTTTCTCACTTAAATTATTTAAAACCCAGAAAAGAAATGATTTATCTTCTGGTTTTTAATGGAGACCATGAAGTTCTGCATAGCTATCATTGATGTGTACTTCATACTGCATTTTTAGAAGTGGAAAATAGTTATTTGGAGGAAGAGAGAACAAATCTGGAACGTTAGGTGCAAGGAGAAAAAGAATAGAGAGATGAAAAGGAAAGATATTTGTAAATTATAAAAATTTAAATTAGCTATTGATTTTCTGCACTTTATTTTTTAACTTAGAATTTTTCAAAGTCAGTTAATCTTGGTGGAATTAGCAGGATGTTAATAGGAGTGGCTGAGAAAAAAACATTTTGTGATTGTCTGAGTTTGGGAAGTATTGGATTAAATACAATTGAGGTTTCTTTACTATGGAACTCCTCAGAACTTATAATACGTTGATATTCTTTGATTCCCAGATGCGGGCGAGGGTAATAGGATACATGGTTTTCCAGACTTATTTGAAAATGCAGCTATTTTTGGGTTGCAGGGAAGGATATGGAAGAACTCATGGGAATTGGTGTTTCTTGGAACATGCTTTGGAAATGCTGGGTTAGGCCCTGTTAACTCTTACATCATTAGTTTTTAGCCCAAAAGGAAACAGCAAATAATCTTTTATATGAGCCACATTTTGCACTGATTTTCCTTCCAATCTGTAAAATTACTAAGTAGCACTCTGGACTTATGCTCGAATCACTCTTCTCCATTAATGTAGGTTTCTCCCTCTTTTAGGGCTTTTACTTTATAAATACAGAGATTACTTTGTAAAATTCTACATTTGCCATTGGGTCCTTATACATTTGTAACTTTCCTCATAGTATATTTTGTGATTTGGTGGAGTTTACAATATAGATGATACTAACTGAAATTAATCGTTCTGTATAATTGGATAGAAAAGCATGAGTAAGAATTAAATTGGTGTTATATTTAATTGCCAAGATTTTCACATTTCCTGACTACAACAATAAAATAAAGTGAATTGATGGCTTAAAAAAAAGAAACCTCAAATGTTTAGTCAATGAAGAACATCTGTTGAATGACTGAATGTTCATTTTATATAGTGCATTTTCTGAGCTTTTTTGGAGGGGGAAGTTGCTCCCATGCTCTGAGAACTTTTAAGGATCGATACATTATTTTTAACATAATAATGAGAAAACATGAGCAGAGAACTATTTCTGTCCTTCCCATTCTCTGTCCTCCTGCTCTCCCGCCTCCCACCCCAGCCATCAAGCTAAGTATTTTACACCTGGACATAGCTATAGGCACAGGCTACTTTGAAGTCTCCTGGTGACATCGTTCAAGTCTGAATGTTCAAAGGCTGTTTAACAGGGAGGTTGACTTAATGAGATCATCAGGGAAATGTCCAGTCATCCTGAAGGGTATTTTGGATGGGCTTCCAGAATTTAAAGTTTTTTTAAGGTTTTTTTTTTTTTTTTTTTTTTTAATTTTCACTGTTTATATTGCCACATTAATTTCCATTATAAAACCAGTAACCATAATTTTATTTTAATTGGCAATCTTATTATTTTCACGTATCCTCATGATGAGAATTTATGTCCATTACTTTGCTTGATGTGATAACAATGACATGCTAAATGAGAAACAATTGTTATTTAGGAAAAAATGCAGAAAGTGAAAGTCCTTTTAATTCCTAATCGTAAATACATTTTATTAGCTTGCTTTAAGAAGTGGCGGTCACAGCTCCTGAACATTAGGGAGTGCTTCTTTTGGTCAGCATTATTTATTCAGTGCACATTGCCTTTAATTTGAATTTGAAATTATAGTAAAATCCATGGGATTTTTAAAGTCTCACAACCTTTTCCTACCTTTTCGTGAAGGTAGATCCAGATGATAACTGCTGTGTTGTGACATCATAGAAATTAGAAAAATATTTTCCTCTGAGGAAAGAACATTGTAAATGAAACTCTACATATCAGAGGTCTATAGCTATGTATCAATATTAAGTTTATTTTGTATTTTGCTTTGTAGTCATCTTCATTCCAAACTTTCATAATATTATTTTTAATTTAAAAAGAAAAATAACCCACTGATATTGAAGATTAGTATTATGTCACTTTTGAAAGTCAGTAAAATTTATGCAAAAGGAACCTGGAACTTTAAATCATTTTTGTTTTTATTTCCTAAGGTTCATGAGACTCATTCTTATGGTTCATGTTTTTATTTTTTCTCTCATTCTTTATCATTATGATTGGAACCTCTTTTAATTTAATTTCTCACACAGTTATTAGCATAATAATCTGTTTCAGGATTGTCTTGGGGATCATCACAAAGAAGAACATATTAGAGCATCTCGAGCAACTAAAGCAGCACGTCGAACCCTTGGTGATTAGATATATCAGATCTCCTCATTAGACACCTTAGAAGTCAGGAAGCATGAAACTTGTGAACTGTTGAGTTCTCTCTTTCCCAGATATCTGCTGAACAAAAATATCCTACTATGCTGCCAATTACATTTGTATCTGATAAAATATGTCTGTAAGATAAATTTAGATATGTGTAAAATCCCATTTACAGAAAGTAAGCAAAAGTAACACCTCTCATCAAATCGTTCATTACAATTTCAGAACTGTAAACAGTTTGGTAGTGGAATAAGTGAATATTATTGGACATTCTTAAAGTGAATATGGCAAATCTGTCTACCTCAGTGGATACACCGGTCTCAGAAGACTCCTGACTGGTTAAAAATGTCTGACCCATCCCCCCAAGCCCTTTTTTTTTTTTTTTTTTAATGTTTTCTGATCTTGTGGTAGTCTTATGGTAAATCTAAGCTCCTAAAGGATTTTAAAGGAGCTTAGCAATTAGAATTGCTTTCAGTTAAATTGATTTTTTAATGGGCACACTACCTAGAGTGTAATGTGTATATTATTTGTGATCATAGCATTAGTTCTTTTTCTGCTATACCCTGCATATCTTCAAAGTCACAGTGTGTGTCCTGCCATCTCATTAGTAAATTGTACCTAGATTATGTGTGTGTCCCTTTTGTATGATGTTTCTAGAATGCTATAAGCAGCTTTTAGAGTCAAATGCATTCATTTTAACTGGCTTTATGTCCTAGTGGTTTCATGACTACAAATTTGAATTATCTTACTGCATAACATAAAAAATGTCTGGCTTTAGCAATTAATGCCTGAAATTATTTTGCCCTGCAATTGTCATACCTATATGAAACTTGTCCCAGTTTGCTTAAGTGCACAACTGATTATGTATTCCTGTTGTATGCTAATATTTCACAAGTGTTTCATGCATCCTTTTTTTAAAAACTACTAACCAGAATATTATCGTAGCAACTCATTCATTCCGCTTTCTGCTTCACCTGTAATAATCTTTTAGGACTGCTTTCTGATTTTTCACCTATCTTTTAATGTAAGCATTAACAACTAAGACTTTCATAAAAGCACTGTATCTTAACTTTTCTGGCCTAAATCAAAAAAAGGAAAACACTGATAAGTGTCCTAGAAACTTGGGTTCTCTTATAGCTTTGTTCTTGGGGCTCTGATGTTTGGGATTGATGTTCTGTGTTGACCATTTTATATGCATTTTATCTCAATAGTATGTGCTTTCATGAAGATTCTGATACAAGTGGGCAATCCTTAAATTATCTTTGAAAAATTGGTTAATTTTGGTTAAAAAAAGGGAAAGTGGCAGGCGCAGTGGCTTACGCCTGTAATCCCAGCACTTTGGGAGGCCGAGCCGGGTGGATCACAAGGTCAGGAGTTCAAGACCAGTCTGGCCAACATGGTGAAACCCTGTCTGAAAATAAGCGGGGCATGGTGGCGCGTGCCTGTAATCCCAGCTACTTGGGAGGCTGAGGCAGGAGAATTGCTTGAACCGGGACCCAGGAGGCGGAGGTTGCAGTGAGCTGAGATGCGCCACTGCGCTCCAGCCTGGGCTACAGAGCAAGACTCTGTCTCAGTAAATAAATAAATAAATAAATAGAGAAAGTATTGAGAGGATTTGGTCATCATTTTTGCTTTCTTCATGTGATGGCAATCAATTTTCCTTCTCAGATGGGATCAGTATCATTTCGTATTCATACATCCATCCATTTTTTGTTACTTTTTTGTTGGCATACATTAATCAAAATAGCTGTGCTGCATTGAGGCATGCAGTCCTCAGACTCTCAGTGGAAAGGCTGTCATACTATTAGTGACCATAGTAACTTTTTATACCAAAGGATGGTTGCTGGATAATTTTAGTATCTTTACCAATAAAGTACTTTTTGGAAAGACAAAATCAGGCTGCTTGCTTTGCTCTATTCCTGTCAACAAAAAGGATTTAGCTATAGATTTAGCTTCTCCTTTTATTTTCCCTTTTATTTCATGGGAGTCTTCTGTTTATTCCTTTCAGGCGCCTCCTTGGCATTATAACAAAAAAAGATATCCTCCGGCATATGGCCCAGACGGCAAACCAAGACCCCGCTTCAATAATGTTCAACTGAATCTCACAGATGAGGAGAGAGAAGAAACAGAAGAGGAAGTTTATTTGTTGAATAGCACAACTCTTTAACCCGAGGGAGTCGTCTACTTTTTTTTCCTCTGTTACAAAAAAAGAAAAAAAAGGAAATATAAAAGCCGGGTTTTTGCAACGTGGTTTGCAAATAATGCTGGTGGAATGGAGGAGTTGTTTGGGGAGGGAAAGGAGAGAAAAGGAAAGGAGTGAGGTATTTCCCGCCTAACAGAAAGCAGTATATCAACTCCTATTGTTCTGCACTGGATGCATTCAGCTGAGGATGTGCCTGATAGTGCAGGCTTGCGCCTCGACAGAGATGACAGCAGAGTCCTCGAGCACCTGGCCTGTTGCTCCAACATTGCAAAGACACATTATCAGTCCCTATTTCTGGAGGGATTGCTTTGAATTGAGCCATCTATAAAACTGCAAGGTCTTGCCCTTTTTTTTAAATCAAAACTGTTCTGTTTAATTCATGAATTGTATAGTTAAGCATTACCTTTCTACATTCCAGAAGAGCCTTTATTTCTCTCTCTCTCTCTCCTGAGCTGTAACAAAGCCTCTTTAAATCGGTGTACCCTTTTGAAGCAGTCCTTTCTCATATTGAGATGTACTGTGATTTTACTGAGGTTTCATCACAAGAAGGGAGTGTTTCTTGTGCCATTAACCATGTAGTTCGTACCATCACTAAACGCTTGGAACAGTACACATGCACCACAACAAAGGTTGATCAAACAGGTAAAATCTCGAAGGAGGCCTGAACGAAATCTCTCATTGTGTGCCATGTGGCTCAAAACCGAAAACAATGAAGCTTGGTTTTAAAGGATAAACAGTTTTCTTTTTTGTTTTCCTCTCAGACTTTATGGATAATGTGACCTGGTCTTATGCAAATTTTCTATTTCTAAAACTACTATGATATACAAGTGCTGTTCAGCATAATTAAACAAAATGCTGCTGCTTTGACAGTAAAGAGAAGGAAGTATTCTGTTTAGCTGTATCTGGTATTAATTGCATGTTAAAACACTGGAATTTTTAAAATTGAAATTAGATCAGTCATTCTTTTCTTTTCTCAAGATATCACATGGCTGACACTGAAGAAGAAATGTAATTCATAACTTGCACTAAATGTATATTTTTTTTCTTAAAAATTTACCATTCTTATTTATATTTTTATGGATTAAAATTTATAAAATACAGATCAGTTAATATTGCACTTAAGTAATTTTACCTTTTTAATGTGATTTTTATAGAATAACTCAGACTTACAAATATGGAGATATGAACAAAGTTTACAGTGGGAACAAAGGTTTAAAAAGAGGTTGTGGTTCTCTCTCTGTGATCCAGTGTGTACATAAACCGTTCTCTGATCTTTCACTGCCATCCTCCGGATTATGTCTTCTGACCTGTCCATTTTGACCCATTAACTGGAAAGTTGAAAAACTACGTTAACTGGAAAGTTGAAAAACTACATTAACTGGAAAACTGAAAAACTACATTACTTTGGAGAATAAAACCAAAAGTTAGTGTTTACCTTCTTAAAAAAAAAAAAAACAAACAAAAAATTTAAAAACAATAGAATTGCAAAGATAGCAGTTAAAATTTTAATATGAAAATAACCTTTGAATCTCGAGCTAGGTCACATCCATATTTGAAGTGGTCAATGATGGTTTGGACATTTTTTGCAGGATGAGTTAAAATGCACTGGAGTATATTTGGGATTTTTGTTTTTGGAATTGTCTGTTTTAATCACAGTCTCAATTCACAATTGGCAAAGGCAGTTTACTCAAAGGACTGGCCTAAATATTCTGTAATTATGCATTTTTGATAGGAAAATGAAGTTTTTGCAAGCAGACATTTTATTTTTGTCTTTTCTTTGGCTGGAGTGCAGTGGGGCATGGTCTTGGCTCACTGCAGGGTTGACCACTTGGGCTCAAGTGATCCTCCCGCCTCAGCCACCCAAGTAGCTGGGACTACGGGCATGCGCCACCATGCCCAGCTACTTTTTTTGTATTTTTAGTAGAGATGGAGTTTTGCCATGTTGCCCAGGCTGGTCTCAACTCCTCAGCTCAAGCAGTCCGCCTGCGTAAGCCTCCCAAAGTGGTGGAATTACAGGTTGAGGCACTTGCACCTGGCCCAGACAGACATTTTCTGAAACACAACTGGCAATGAGCTGTTTTTACATTTTGAAAGTGATTCTTCACTTCCTAGTTCTTAATTATAATATACCTATTAAGATCTGTAAGGTCCTGAAGACTTATAAGATCATGAAGCCATATAATAATGAGGATTGAAAGTTGAGCAAAATTTTCAGGATTTTGGGAAACATTCTTAGCTGTGCTGTCTGCCTAAGATTAGTCCTTATTACTTCCCTCCTTTGATAGACTTCAAGTTTTCTTCATAGCCCTTTCAAAGGTTTTTGGGCCATCCAGACTAAAATCATTTCTTAATGATAGTTCTGTATATCTCCAACTTGTCTTAAGTGTATTTGCCTCTGTGCAAGGTATTGCTAGACTATGAACTCCTCAGCATGGCTGCTGGATAACTTACTGTCTCGAGTTACAAGCCTTCAAAGGAGAAATCGGTTTCTTTGCAGATAGCTTCATAAAACTTCACATGGAGTTTATTTTCCATATTTCTCTTTTTTATTTCTGCTCCTCCTTTCATTGCCCATCTTGCTTCAGAGACTGACATTTCAGAGTGGATATTAATTAAAGCATTAATTTTCTTTTTTGGTGTATTTCTATCCCTAGCGTGTCTTACTGCTAAAATACAGGAAAAGTGCCGTATTTTTAATGCATTCAGTGGTTTTCTTTGGTGTTATCTGTTCCATTTTCTTTTTCGTACATTGAGGTGTGTCTCCTTTTCAACCAAATGAAATAGTGGAGACCATGAAATTGTTGTGCCTGGCTAATTGGCAAATTAATTTACCAATATAATAACTGTAGCGCCTTATTTGAATACCCTTTTTGAGAAGGTATGATGAGAATGGGCAAGGGTGTCAGCATCTCCTCTTCTTAATAATTGTTTTCAGTTTTGGTTCACAAAGAATGCTTAGTTTGTTAACCTGTGATGTTACCTAGAGCTGTATTTATCTGTTTTTATTTATACTAGTGTAGTAAAGCTGCATATCATTACAGTAAAAATGATTACTGTGATGAGTTAATCAGAAAATCTATTAAAATCTATATGACAATGTGTGGTTTTGGCCTTTAATTATATCTGTAAGAGCCCTTCCTCTTCACTGCCGCCCTATGCAGTGTAGGCCGATACGCCTGGCACAGGGAGCCCCAGAAAGGTAATAATTATAATGCTTCTCTCAGGTTACAAAGCATTTCTACACTTTGTAAGCAAGGAGCAATAGAAGAGTAGATAGACGCTGGATCGACAGCAGGATGTTCATACCACCAGCAGTGGTTTAGCGCCCCTGTTTGTCAGTGAAAGCTGCAGGTCTACAGAAAACTGATCATTTCAGCTCACTTTCAAAAGTGATTTTTTTTCTTTTTGCAAGAAAAATTACGCTATTTGCATGAAAAGAGGTAAAACGATTTATTTACACGTCTTTAAAAAATCACCTTGGACATTTGCTAATAGAACTGCCAGAAGAGGGTGGTAAGTAACAACCTTTGAGTAAGATGTGGTCTTTTACTATTAAGCTTTTAGTAAAAAGGAACACACTAAAAGTTCAGAGTAGATCATTTATATTCTCTGAGTATTTACTTAACAATTACTGGTCGCCAGGCACTATTCTATGTTCTTGAAGTTTTCATTTCAGCAGGAAGAGAAATCTATAGTATGTCAGATGGTGATACATATGGATTAGTTCAGCAATTTTTAAAAAATGATTTTTATGTACTGCACACTGTTAAGAATATACGAAATCGGTCAAGAATCCTCATGGGGTAATAGTTTTTCTAATGGACAAAAAGTGAAGGTGTGTGCCTGTGTGCACCCACCCCATTTTTATTGAGGGTGATCAGGGAAAGCCTCGGGGATAAGGAAGCATTTGAACAGAAACCTACAGAAAGTGAGAGAAGTACATTTATCTGCGAGAAAAAAATGTAAGAAGAGAAAATGGAAAATGCTATATACAAAGGATTCTCCTGCCAGGTTCAAGGAACACCGAGTGGGTCACTAGCTGGAGAGGGATGAGAGGGAAGAAAGTGATAAGGAAAGAGGTTGGGAGTGTAGGTGTTTGATTTTTATTCTAAATAAAATGAGAAGCCAGTGAGGCAGAAAAGTCACATAATCTGACTTAAAATGATCCCTCGGACTCCTTTGTTGGGAATAGACTATAAAGCGGTAGAGGTGGAAACAGGAGACCAGCTAGAAGACTGTGGAATAATTCAAGTGAGATATGGTAGAGATCTGAACCTGATTGAAGCTGGTGGAGGTGCTGAAAGTGGTTGGATTCTAGACATGTTGAAGGTAGAATGGACAGGACTTGTGAATGGGTTGGATGTAGAGTGTGATGAGGAGTCAAGGATGTCTGCAAAGTTTTTGGCTAATGACAGAACAATGGAATGGCCACTGGCTGAGTTGGGAAAGACTTAAGAATAGATTGGGGCTGGGGTGTTGTGTGCAGAGAAATTTTGGTTTTAGACATTGTTTTAAGTGTCTTTTATACTTCCAAGTGGGGGTGTCACATAGGCATTAGCATGTATCAGACTCGAGTTCAGGAGAAAGGCCCAGCCTGAGAGCTACCCGGGCGGCGGCATCCTGAGACAGGACAGTACCACGGATTGAGTGCAGACAGAGAAGAGGTACAAGGACTAAGCACTGAAGCATGCTTATGTTTAGATTTGGGGAGGTGAGCCAGCAAATGAGGGAGCCGCCAGTGAGGTTGGGTTGCGAGTAGTGACATTCAAAGAAGGGTATTCCCCTGGTGGATTTATTTAAAAATAAGCTGGGTGTGGTAGCTCAGGCCTGCAAATCTAGCACTTCAGGAGGCCAAGGTTGGGCAGGATCATTTGAGCCCAGGAGTTCATGACTAGCCTGGGAAACACAGACCAGGTCTCTACAAAAAAATTAAAAAATAAAAATGAGTTGGGCATGGTAGCACATGCCTGTAGTCCTGGCTACTTAGGAGGCTAAGGCAGGAGGATCGATTGAGCCCGGGAGTTGGAGGCTGCAGTGAGCTACGATGGTACTACTGCACTCCATTCTGGGTGACAGAGCAAGACCCTGTCTCAAGAAGGGTAGTCCCCTAAACCAAATGAATAATAGTTTCAAGGAGCGATGATTAACTGTCACATGTTGCTGATAGGTGAAGTAAATGAGGACTCAAAATGTACCAATGTAGAGAGAACTGATAGCTTCCCCCAGAGCAGGTTCAGCACGATGGTGGCAAGCCAAAGCCTGAAAGCAGTGGATCCAACAGAGATTGGAAGAAGACGACGATTGCAATTCTTCCTGTGAGGTTTCCAGGAAAGTAATGCGTGATAGTTTTAAGATGCAGGATATTATAGCTTCTTCTGCTATTGATAGTTTGACAGGGAAAATTAATCTGAGAACAATCAGATTTTAAGATGCAGGAAATTATAGCCTTTCTGTTAATGATAGGAATGTTTGAGAGGAAAAATAGGCCCTTAAGCAAGCAAGGGAGGATGGGGTCTTGGACACACATTCAACCTTCATAGAAAGGAGGAAAGGCAGAGTATAAGGGGTAGTTGGTAAGGCAGTGGGATTCTGTTGAAGTTATTTTGGTTGCTCCTATTTTCTCAGTGAAATCAACTGAGGATGGGAGTGGGGTTTGGGGATTGAGAGATGAGAAAGTAGGATCGATGGGCATCCAGCGTGACCAGCTTGAGGTTAAAATAACACAGGCTGCCACGGTTGTGTTTTTTCTCCAGCCACCTGGTACTGAGCAGACTCTGGTAAGGAATAGGCAGTTTTTAAAACCTGGCTTAAGGTTAACAGATACATACAACAAATGGAGAGAAGGGTAGTGGAGTGGAGGATGCAGGGAGTGATTGTAATGATGGGGAGTAGAATCTAAAGGCTCGGTAAAGAGAATCAGGAATGGAGTGGATGAAGAATGAAAAAGGTGGTTACATTTGTGAACTGTAGGGGACTGTCGTGTTTAAAAATTACTAGAGGGAAAGAGACGGAAGGATGAATGATGATAAGACAGTAGGATGCTTGAGGTTGAGATTTGGGAGGTTTTCATTGGCACTGAGAAGGTACTAGTTTCTAGTTTGTCAG